CTTAAACCCAAAACCCCAAACCCTGAACCCTGAACCTTAAACCCTAAACCCCAGGCCCGCCTGCGATGCTGAGGGCGACCCCCGCGCCGAACTGGGCCTAAGATGGGGGGCTCTCGGACTCAGGGCCACCATCTTTAGGGGTTTAGGGGTCTAGCGGTTTAGGGTTTAGAGTTTAGGGGTTTAGGGGCCTAGGGGTTTAGGGTTTAGAGTTTAGGGGTTTAGGGGTCAGGGGTTTAGGGCTTAGGGTTTAGAGTTTACGGGTTTAGGGTTTAGAGTTAGGGGTTTAGGGGTTTAGGGCCTTAGGGGTCTAGGGTTAGAGGTTTAGGGGTTCAGGGTTCAGGGGTCCAGGGTCCAGGGTTAGGGCTCAGGGCCACCATTGCAAGACCCTCTAAAGCCTCTGACAAGCATTCGTAACCAAGATCCTCTTAGGGCCCGGTATGGAAAAAGTAATTTCGGGTTAGGCGATGGGAAACGAAAGAGAGCGAGCAGGGTTGTGGTGGGTATAGTTCGCGAGAGTCCAGTCCTTCGTCTGGAGGTTCGTACTTGAAGCACTAAAAGCACTGAAGGTTTAAGATGAGAAGCAACACATCTAATGTAATGAGGGGCGGCTCTGGTACTTGGAATAGAGTTTTGGGGCACGTGATATATACCAAAATTATTTCAGGAACCCTTGGGGACAGTATTGGTAATGATTTCGGCTGCTATATTACACACATAGACAGGAGAAACGAGTGCCGCAGCCGACTACTGCACAGCCACATGCTATGCAACGGCCGTTCCCTTGTCCAAGAAAGGTTATTCTTTTGATCTTGGTTTAGGGTTTAGAGTATTTTTGGGGTTTAGGGTTTAGGGTTTCATCTCTTCATGGTATAGCGGGCTTCGCAACTACTTCGAACATCGGGTCTTTCCAGGATTTTAAAAAAGCTCCTAGGTCTTCCGGGCATCTTTCGGGACATCAGGAGCTCATGCATCGCCCCGACTGAGGGCTCGTCGTCACCAGGCACAAGCCGGCCCAAAACCTGGCCAAACTCCTCAGAGCCTCCAATATCCCTTAATTAAGGAATATTCCTTAAATTCTAGTAGAATCCTTAATATGATCTAGAGTATATTCCCTTAATTAAGGGATATTGGAGTCTCTGGGTCCTCAGCACGGCGGTACGCGGCGGACGGAGCCGTTGTGGTAGGTGAAGGAGAGGCCGCCACGGTTCCGGAGGCGAAAGGCAGTTGGCAGTGAGCTGGTGATGGCCTCCCGGCAGAGGTACTGTAGCTTGCTCCTTCAGGGGTGGGGCTTGAGGAGGGGACGAATGGGGGCGTTGACGGGGGTTCGGTGGATCTCGGCTGCAAACGCTGTTGCAGTTGCAGGGTCTTCGGTGTATGTCTTCCTGAAGGGCTCCAGGGCCACCTCGTCATCGCCAGCACCAAAATCCCCAGAGGGGGCCAAATCGGCCCTTCGAGTGGAAGTCCTCGGAAGAGCCTTCGCCACCCAAGGTCGGAGCCATGCCAGGTTTAGGGTTTGCCGTTTAGGGCAGCAGTGCTACGACCTCGCGTTACAAGAGCCTGAGACCTCTTAGACGAAGAGACATGTCGACGGAGTGGCTTACCCAAGGCTGGCCACTGCAAATACTCTTGAACAAGATCCTCCGACTACTCCGACTAGTGGTGAGGGGTAATAATCAGCATCCCAGTGGCCGACCCAGCAGGGATACCTGAACCCAAAACGCAAAAAAAAAGTTGCACACCCAAATCCCCGAACCCTCAACTGTCATTGATCCCCAAAGCGCCAAACCCTTTCACAACCCTAAAACCCTTAACTCGACTTTGCTTGGTTGGTAGGTTGGTAAGTAAACATATGATTCATGCATGTGTGTGTAAGATACCCGACCCCGAGAAAGCAAAACAACTAAACCCTTACCGCTTACCCAAGAACCGAATACGGACACCCGAAAACCTTGAACTCTAATCCCTAAACCCCAAACCATAAAACGCTGAACTCTAGGGTGTAAAACTCTAAATGCTTAACCCTAAAATCGAAAACCCAACAAAAACTCGGGTGCCAGGCGTTCCTGGATCTTCAGTCGAGCTCTCCTCTCAATGCTGTAGAAGTGTTTAGTATTTAGGGCTGCGGGATTGAGGCTTGAGGTTTAGGTTTTGAGGCTCAGCATTCAAGGTCGGGGACTAGAGTTCAAGGTAAGTAGGCTACAACTGGAGCTTTATAGCCTGAGCTTGGGATCCGTGTCTTACTCTTCTCCTAATTTGCTGTTTCTGGGGCTGCCGTTAATGAAAAACAAAACCCGGAACCCTAGGCTTACTTCCTGCAGGGAATAAAAGGTTAAACCTTTTAGATTACTACTAGGTTAGAAGAACCCAAAAAGTTTAAAATAAAGACTGGGTATTGGAGGACTAACTAGGCATGCTGGTTGTAGGGTTAGGGTTCCGGGGTTCAGGGTTAATCTAGAAGCCTAGATAATTACCAAGATTATTCCTTAGGGTTCCTTATGGTTATCCTATAGACGAGCCCAACACCCGAGTCTAATTATCAATGCCCCTACACTAGGGGTTTCGGGTTTGGAACACAACGGCATGCGTTCAATTCGTCACCCTTTTACACTACCTCTTCTAGCTTGGCTCTTCCGGACCTTTCAGTAATAGTCTTCTTCTCAAGCCCAAGAAGGGGAAAGAAGGGTTTAGGGTTTGGGGTTTAGGGCTACTGCCCCAAAGGCCTACCTAGATGCTTCTGCAAGACGGAAACTGAAGGAAAGCGAGTAGGCTTAATAATATCGGGGCATTAATAATTAGAATATCGTTTTGGCGTATATTATGCTACAATCACAATCAGCAACCTCCCGAAACTCCGAACCCCAACCCCCCAAACCCCTAAACTCTAGAGTCCCGGACCCTCGAAAATACTGCTCAACACCTCTACCACACGCCACGTACCTACAGCAATCATGGCACTTTGATGTCTTTGTACAGTCAACTTGTTTTGGATCCTATACTAAAAGCCCCCAAAAATATCGAAACCCTATACTAAGCGCCCTACAGAACGTCCAAACAAGATAAGGTCCTGAGGCCCTAGCTATGTCCCAAACACTAACAAGGTTTCCATCTGAACAGTCCCAAAAATTATTTAAAATCAGGGCTCTAGAGTAAACAATCAGGGAAACCCTTACTAAACCGCAAACCGTAAGCCCTGAACCCTAAACCCAAAAATTATCCCGAATCGATACCTAGCCCTAACCCTAAACCCTAAACCCGAACCCCCTATAAACCCTAACCCCCTAAACCCCAACCCCCCAACCCCCTTCAACCCCCAAGCCTAAACCCTTCACCCTGACCCCTCAAACCCCTATAGCGCCCTACTCACAGAATACCCAGTAGACCCCTCACAATAAGGGCACCCTTTTTTCTACTCTTTGGGTTTAAGAAGGGACCCCCAAAAACAAAACAGGGCAAAAGGGTACTAAACCCTAAACCCTAAACCCTAAGGTACTACTGGGGAACCTGGGCACTTTCAGACGAAGGAGCTCTCGATACATTTGCTTCCGGCTCGGGCTTAAAGTTGAGAGCTTCCCTTAGCCCCCAAGCCCAAAACCCTAAACCCTTACCCTAAAAGCTAAACCCCAAACCCCAAACCCTAAACCCTAAACCCCAAAACCCTAAACCCTAGGGTTAGTTTTTTAGCGTTTGTTCCTGGTTTTTTTTCAACTTTGAATCCCAACTCGGGTCTGCACAAGAATACCGCAGTCCTCTATTCAGGACCCTAGTGAGCTCCCCCCAAGAATCGTAGTCCCCTGAAAAGGGGTGTAGGGTTTAGGGTTTCGGGTTAGGGTCAAGGGGAACTCTTCCATCTTTCTCCTACTATCTAGTTTGAATTCATCAGGAACAGATCACAAAAACAACAGACAGGTATTGGGGGACCTAGTTTACCCTAAACCCTAAACCCCCAAACCCCCAAACCCTAAACCCTAAACCCGAAACCCTAAACCCTAAACCCTAGACCCTAAACCCTAAACCCTAAACAGTCAAGACCTTAGGCTTTCTCGCTGCGTTGGGCCATTGCAGTCCTGCGCCCGCTGCGCTGCCAGCCGCGCGGCGGAGCGCGCGTTCCTGGCCATCTGCAGCTGCACCTGGGAAGGGTTTAGGGTTGAGGGTTTAGGGTTTAGGGTTACTCCCGTTAGAAGGCAAGCAACAAGTAGAGTCCCCTACTCCCGTTAGAAGGCAAGCAACAAATTAGCTTGTTGGAATCCTTTGCAAAATAAACCATTTCAAAAAAAAGAAAACGAACTACCCAAGAGCCTTAAAGTCAAGAAATCCCCAAAGTCGCTCACTTTCTGTTTAGGGTTTAAGGAGCCCTCAGCCCTTAAACTCAAAACTCCTCTACTCCCAACACCATGATCCTTAAAACCGTCTACGTCGCAGCTCTAGCCGGTCTACATGCTCTGTAGGGCTGAATGCCTTAGGATTTGCGGCGAAGCGGCTCTAAATCTTGGTTGCCATGACTTCGATCACTAAGCCTTAAAAGCTTAAAGCCAGAAGCAACTTGAAAGTGGCATCCACGGCTTTCGGAGGGTGTTGGCTTTCGTCGGAAGCGCGAGGATTGAGGGTTTGGGTTTAAGGTTTAGGGTTTAGGGTGTAGGGTTTAGGGTAGGGTCTGGCAGTGCTTACTTCCCCAATAAGCCAAGGAAACAAAAGGTTTACAGTACAAGCCCAGAAAGTTGGAACATCATTCTCCTCATGACCTTAAGGTAAAGCACAGGGAATTCCAGCACTAATCATCCTAAATCCATGTTCCAACTTTCTGGGGTTCACTATAACCTGCAGAATACTACTAACTTTGTAGGAACACAAGAAGTTTAAAGGTTGGGTATTAGGGAACCAAGCTGTTTGAAGTTGAACTCTCAGAACACCTCGCCCGACCCTGTAACACAATCTGGCAAGCCCCATAAACCCATAAAGGAACCGGGCGACCCTTAGGGACCCCAACAACTCAACACGCCGAAAAGCGCTCTATGAGCTCAGATTGGCCGAATCCCAAGCCTGGAAAACAAACGCCCTGAAGCCTAAAGAAGCCCAGAAAGTTGGAACATCAGGTTTAGGGTTTAGGGTTTAGGGTTTAGGGTTTAGGGTTTAGGAGACCTTCAGGTGAAGTAGAAATCATCAGCCTAAATCCAAGTTCCAACTTTATCCCGGGTTCAGTAATCCCTAAACCCTAAACCGTAAACCCCCAGCCTACTCCTAAACCCTATTCAAGGCATATATATATATGCCTTGAATGTGTGTCGGAATTGGGTGTCCTTCTTGTGGGGTTGTGATAATATAGGGGGCCTTAACAATTAGAATCGGGTTTTGGGGTCCTTTATAGTATAATTTAATAAGGAAGCCCCACAATAGTAGACGTAATCATTAAGGCCCCTATGTTATTATGTCTACCTTCGGACCATGAGGACTCCCCATTTTCTGCAACTCCCACACCCACATCCCGAAATCTCTAATTTGTCGTTCAGTTTTCGACAATTTTTTTGCTTCATCCAGGCGGCACTGCGGCGCTTCTCCTGGAATGCGTGGGATTTCGGATTTTGGCGAGATGGAGTTTTCGCTTTGCTTTTCAGTGACTTGCACTCAAAACATTCACATGGGCCTGCTTGCATAACGGGAGCTTCGACAGACCCCTGTATTGCTCGTGCCGGACTAAGCCAGAGTGTGAGTACGTCAAGGAAAACCAATACTATATGGGGTCCCTAGTAATCAGAGTAGGGTGTTTGGGGTATTTTATACTGTGTTTGGGACTATTGGGGGAGTTACTATTACGAATTGTTGCGACCCATATATTGCACCCGGAATCGCCGCATCCTGACCCTAGCTGCTCCCTGCATCCAAAACCGCAGTTGGCAGGGAAATGCCAGCTGCCCGCAGGACCTGAGCCATTGGAGCTGTCCCAGAGAATGCCCGTGCCTAATGTCAGGACAAAGTTTGTGAAGTCTGCTGACATTCCCAACATGGCATCGTTTGGCAAAGGAGAGGCCTGGCTATCCATCAGTGTCAGGGTACTCGACGGACCTAAGAGGCGCAGGTCCTCCGGAAACCATGCGTGCTACCCAGAGACTCCAATATCCCTTAATTAAGGAATATTACTTAAATTATAGTAGGGTCCTTAATATGATTTAAGGTATATTCCTTAATTAAGGGATATTGGAGTCTCTGGGTAACTAGGCTGCTGGTGCTGCACGGTGGCACCAAACGAACAGAAGCCATCTGACCCGCCCAGAGACTCCAATATCCCTTAATTAAGGAATGTTCCTTAAACCATATTAAGGATCCTACTATAATTTAAGGAATATTCCTTAATCAAGGGATATTGGAGTCTCTGACCCGACAGCCGGAGGTCCCACAGCACAGCGACCCGTCCAGCCTTGCTGAGCAGGTCCAGCTTCAAGACAGCGTGGCAGCGGGGGTTTAGGGTTTAGGGTTTAGGTTTAGGTTTAGGTTTAGGGTTAGGGTTTAGGGTTTAGGGTTTAGGGTTTAGCTTTAGGGTTTAGGGTTTAGGGTTTAGGGTTGGGTGTCTTTTGTATCAACAGCCAGAGTATCAAAGCCACACTGGTGCAAGCAGCGACTTAATCGACAAGAGTCGGCAACAAATCGAGGAAAAGCGCGCCACAACTCTCTCCTATGTACGCGATCCCGGAGAACGAAACCATAGTCCCCAACTCAAAAACAAAATCACCCAAGAGACATATAGCAGAGACCACCCAACCCAAAGGCCTATGTCACAAATGCCCGAGAACCCAAACCTAAATCTAAGCCCTAAATCCGAGCCCATCAACCCAAACCCTTAAACCCTAGGCCCTTGAAACACCGGTCTAAAAGACTACCCAACCCTAATGGCCCGAAACCCTTAAATCCTACCATTAGAAAATGATGTTGGAGATACTGCTACTAGAATCCGATGATGGCAGGAACTGAAGGAACAGTACTGATAACTATATTCTGGCTTCTGTACTATGTCCTAACGTCCCGCACAGCTGAACCCAAGCCCTAAAGCATGTCTCCCGAAGTCCCGCCTGAACCCTAAACGCGAAAACCCGAAACCCTAAACCCCTAAACCCTAAACCTTTAATCCCAAACTGGAGCTCCTGGACAGCAAGGGCTTCCAGCTCGTCCTGGGCAGCAGGGCTGTGCAAAGTCGGTAGGGTTTAGGGTTTAGGGCACAAAGTCGGTATCAGGTGAACGCTATTGGGCTTGACGGCTTTAGGGCTTGGGGCTTTTCCGGTTGAACGAGTTCCGGATCCGTGGCTCGAGGCTGTTGCAGGTAGCTGAGATTGATTTGGGGTTTAGGGTTCGGGGTACTGGGCTCCTTCTCGACCTAAACCCTAAACCCTAAACCCTAAACCCTAAACCACAAACATCCTGGCAGGCAACAGAGTGCAACCAAGGCTCGCCCTGGACAACAAGAATGGAACCAGCAGCCATCCTCTCAACAGAAACGACCATTTCTGATACAAGACATCATAGCAACAAACAAACTTCTAATGCGCAGGAGAGAGAAGTCGTAAAAATGCACCTTATAGTCCCTATATAACCCTATATGTAACCAATCATTAAAGAAAAAACCATACCCCTCTTCGATGTGGTCAGGTCCACATGCCCTGAACCTAGAACCCTAAACCCCTACTTGGAGGCCCGGGGGACTTAGTAAGTCGGTTATAACTAGGGTTATAATTGGGGTAACTCCATTTAGGTTACTTATAACTCTACTTATAACCTACTTACTAAGTCCCCCGGGCCTCCAAGTAAACCCTAAAGCCACCTTAAATCCCAGTGGAGTCCAAGATTCGCTGCTGAGCCCCCGAGGAGGTTTAGCAGATGGCGTCGTAGAGGGTGTTGCTGGCCTCTACGGTTCGGAGATTGGGTTTTGAAGGGTCAGGGTAAAGGGTTTAGGGTTTTAGGGCTTAGGGTAGCTATTGAATTTCTAGCTGTTTCTTAGCGACCAATGTCAACATTATAGTAACTAAGGTTTCGCGTTACAGCGACCTTACTCACAACCCTACTGGTACCTAGCCTGCAATCGTCTTGAACCATGAGCTGACTTGGAGGAGAAGTTCTAGGGCTCTACTATGTGGGTAGTTCTCAAAGGACCCCTAATTTTGAGAACTACCCATAACCTGAATGGTTATAACTCGCATTATCAACCTATTGTTGTTCGTAGTACCTGGCAAAGCTGGACGACGCGTCCGCTATCAGCACCCTGTCTTTCTCAACGATCTTGGCCTTCGGGAGACCATCAGCTCCAGATGCTTCAGAATGCCGCTCTTCAACTCAAGGAGGTGTACCATCACCCTAAACCCTAAAACCCTAAACCCTCAACCCCATGGTAGCGTTTTTTTGCGGTTTCATGCTGTCGAGGACCACGCCTCGTTCGAGTAAAGCCCTGCTTCAATGATCTGTTCTATGCCCTGCATGACAGACAAAGCCCAGATAGAAGGATTCTATAGAAACCTCTTAAAGGAACCCTGGGTTTAGGGTTTTTAGCGTTTAGGGTTTAGGGATTTTAGGGTTTAGGGTTTAGGGTTTTTAAGGTTTAAGGCCTTTAGGGTTTGAGGTTTAGGGTTTAGGGGCTTCTCTCGCCTGAACTTCATGCAAATTGTTTTCAGGCTGTCTAATGAGTTCAGGCACGACTTCTTCGCATGATGCAGGGGCCGTAATCATTAGAATATGGTTTTGGGGCCCAGTATACAATAGTCATAACAAGGACCCCCTCAGGAACAATGTAGGTAATCATTGAGGCGCCTTTACTACTTGGTTTCCGGCCCCGTGATGATAGCAGCAATGGTGGCATCCCCAGATTTACGCTCAGCTCGTCTTGGCCTGAGGCTTGGGTCAGCCCTTGCTTCAGGAGGTTGTCTGCTTTGTTCGACTTGTAGGAATCCGGATTGCTAGGGGTACGGAGCCAATTGCGTCCGCACCAGTCGACCGGACCATGCCAAGCGGACTTCCTAATGTCCCGCTAGACAAGTGGACTCTTCCATGTCGGGTCGAGCTTCCTGACTTCACCATTGACAATCACTCCCTCCTTCAAAATGGTGTCGATAGCCCTTGCTCTGTCGTCCTCATCGCTGGTAAGGGCCGACCCTGTCTGGCATGTCCCGCGGCCCGCCTGTCTGTACAGGACACGGTCAACCACGTAAAGTGGGTCTGCCTCAGCGTAGGCGTAGGCAACCGCGGCATTGTCGAAATTCTTGCAAGGCTTGCTCTTGCACAGAATCGCGTGGTAACCTGCAAAGAGTACCAAACCTCCAAGCGAGAAGTCCGTGCATTCTGATGACACCAGCGCACCGTCTTTGCTTCGGGCTCGCATGAGCTCGAAGTCATCAAGTACTCTCTTAACGCCTTCGTCATTAGCTGAGTTTAGGGGTTAGGGTTGAGGGGTTTAGGGTGTAGGGTTTAGGGGTTTAGGGGTTTAGGGTTTAGGGGTTTAAGGTTTACGGGTTTAGGGGTTTAGGGTTTAGGGGTTTAGGGTTTGAGTACCGGCTGCAATCTAAGGCACAGTCGCGGGTTTGGGTTATGAGTAATATGAACTCCTACAGTAGAAGACCAAAAGTTGGAAACTCAATAGCCTCGATCCTTAAGAGTGGTCGGTATAGGGTTTGGGGTGTAGGGTTGAAGTGATGTATAGGGAATCCCAGCACTGATTGTCCTTACTCCTGTTTCCAACTTTTTGGGGCTTACTATACACCAAACCCTGAATTACCTCGCATACCCTGAAATGGGATCTAAGGATCTCCAAAATCTTTCAACGCCAGACTCCGCGCATGTAGGACAGAAAGAACCCCTGCACCCTAAACCCTAAACCCCTAAACCCTAAACCCTACACCCTAAACCCCTAAACCCTAAACCCGAAACCACTGACACCTTGAGTTAGGAAGGGTCCTATTGCGATTTAGGGAACATTCCCTTCTTCGCCTCTGCTGGTGTCCGTCATGGGACCACCATGGCGAAACACTACAACCCCACAGTCCCTTAACGATTAGGGTTTAGAGTTTAGGGTTAAGGATTTAGGGTTTAGGGGTTTAGGGGTTTAGGGTTTAGGGTTTAGGGTTAGCCGGCTTTACCAGCTTGGCTGACTTCTGAACCCCTCCTCAAAGTTAAATTTCTAGCTTCCTTATGACCGTTCATCTAGAAAACCAAAAAGTATAAAAAGTTAAAGTTCGAAGAGTCAACCAGAAGAACGCCAAGCCAGGGTTCATACGGCTAGGAGGGTTTGATACAGCAGCCTTTACCATCAGAGCCGAGCTTTTCTTCGGGGGGCATAGTGCTCTCGGGATGCCGTCATTGATCATTCAGACCTAAACCCTGAACTCTAAGGGCTTTAGGAGGGACCCTTAATTGGGACCCATGTAGGTTATTGGGGATAATATGGAGACTACCTGGCTATATAAGGGGTATATAAGGACTATACAATGGTTATTTAAGGTAATGGATTTAAGGGTCCCTATTAGTCCCTCCTAAAGTCCTTAGATGAACCCTAAACCCTAAACCCTAATTACTAAGCCCTCGAATCCGAATAAGAGCAACCCAGATAACCCTGAACGCTTACAGTAACGAAGAGAGTCGATTTGTAAACACCATTCCTGAAGAGCCTTCACTTTAAAATTCGCAAAGCAATCCTTATTCAGGGACGGGGGTTTCAATTACGGGTCTATCTGAAAGCAAAACCCTACCTCCCATTTCGCACCGCCTGCGTCCATCGCGAGTCACCGGTCGACTGGGAGGCGCGAAAGTGATCTCCTGTCAGCCAGAGACTCGGACTCGAAATCGCCTAGGGTATAGGGTTTAGGGTTTAGGGTTTAGGGTTTAGGGCTTGGAAACCGGATTAAGGACAAGTAGTGCTGGGATTCCCTGTGCATTACTCTTACGAACTGAAGCTATTGGGTTTCCAATTTTTGGGCTTCTACGGTAGCGTTGAAGCTCCTGTTGCACAAGGGCTCCAGAGGCTTAGATTTCAGGGCTTTGAGACAGTGCCTGGAGGCACAGGACTTCGAACACCAAACCCACAACCGGACCTCAACCCGAAAATGCAGTGCTTCAAAGACAAATCGGAATGGATTGGATGGAGTCGTCCGGTTGTTCAGAGCTTGAGACTTTAACATATTCGGGCTTCAGCGGGTTTGTGCCTTGGGACTGACATGAGACGGTGATTGACCTTCGATTCCCAAGAGCGAGCCTGTAGGAAAGGTCGCACAACCACAACATGAAGCTGATGTAGGGGCCTTAACAGATATCTTAATTGGCTTTAAGGCGATATTACATTATAAAAACACAACATGTAACTCCAGAGAACCGTGTTGCATGCGAATTGCTCAAGACAAAGATACCCAATCTTACCAATCGTATGCAAAAGGGTTCAGGGCCTAGGGTTTGCGGTTCAGGGTTTAGGGTTCAGGTCTTCTTTGTTGCAACACTGCCGGAAACTGCACTCTCCTTTACTACCTGTTACCTCCATTGCTCACCCTAAACCTAAACCCTAAACCCTAAACCCCAAACCCCTAAACCCTAAACCCTAAACCTTAAACCTCAGAGCCGTTGCCGCTTTACTCTGCAAACGTGTCGGGAGGACCTCGCCCCTCTTCGGGTGCGATGGCAGGAACCCCTGTGCAGAGCCCAGAGACTCCGATATCCCTTAAGTAAGGAATGTACCTTAAATCATATTAAGGATCTTACTATACTTCTTTAATCAAGGGATATTGGAGTCTCTGGGAGTTGCGGTAACCGGTTAGCTCAGCGTTCATTGGAAGTTTAATACAGGGGCCTTCATGGCTAGAATATGGTTTTTGGCTATATTACGCTATAATTATAACAGGGAGCCGCCCAACATAGTATTTATTGGTGATTATCTAGGACCCCCCTTAATCCTTAACCCTAAACCCATATTAAGCCACGAGCCTGGTTTTGAATCTCAACACGGAGGAAACAGCACACAAACGGCTTGAATGCGGTTCGCTCACGAACTGAAGCAACTTGCGAAACAAACCACAGCTTGCGAGTTCTGTCAATGCGGCGCCGACATGATCTATACTGAACTTAGACCCCTAGCAAAAAATTGTAATTTTAGCTGCTTCTTAGGATTTATAGTAGCCAAAGATGAAAAATTATTTCTAACTACCCCTAAGTGATGGGTGGGTGTATGCCTACTAGAGAGATGCAAGGGCTACATAATGAGGCTGACACCTCGGAATCACCCTCGCGAGTATCTTCTGATATCGTTTCGCATACCGATCAACCTACCTCTCTACATATGTACATGCACACGTGTGCTTCGGCATATGTATGAATCTTAAGCCTTGTGCCATGCCCTTTCCACAGAATATGAGCATGCTTGTATATGTGGATATGTACATACAAACACGACACGTGTTCAGATTTCCATGAACCCACATGTTTGACATCGCGCGTTTCGACAGGAAAAAATACAGAGGGCGGGCCACTTGTGAGTTTCTGATGTTAGCCTCATGTCCAAAAAATGATCCTGCGGCATAGCTGCAACTTGAAACCCTAAACCCTAAACCCTACACCTTTGAAGCTGTAAATACTCCATTGCAGGGCTCGGGGAGAAAATTTTGTCCTTAACCGAACAGCCTGAAAGTGACTCTCGGGATTCACACACGGTTAAGGTTAAGGGGTCTGGGATTCAGGGTTTAGGGTTAGGGTTGCAAAAAAAATAGCTGGTGCACTATACCTTAGTTCAGGAATATTCCTAAAACTGTAAGGCTTAAACATGCTTAAACCATACCAGAAATGAAATGCCCTTTTTAGACCAGACGTCTTCAACATTAGGGCCCTTAGCTTATAAACCCCCAAAGCCCTGGAACTAACGCCTGAAAGCCTTAAACTGGGCTTTGAAGTAGCCAGGGGGAAAACCTAGAGCTTAAATTTCATAAGGTTCCTTTAAGGTACCTTTTAGAAAGTGCATTCAAGTATGGTACTCCAGAACCCAGAAAAGCTGAGGGCCCCCCCTAAACCCTAAACCTCAAACCCTAAACCCTAAACCCTAAACCCTAAACCCTAAACCCTGAACCCCAAACCCTAAACCCTAAACCCCTGAACCCCAAAGCTCTATCTTTGCCCCGGAAGAACGGCTTGCCTCGTAGTGCCGGAGGTCCTGTCCTCAACGCTATGACGCTGAGCCGTTGAGGCTTAGGACTTGGGGTACTGCCCTTATACTAGGGTTTTTAGGGTTTAGGGTTTTTGGGGTTTAGGGTTTAGGGCCCTTATGCAGCAACGATGATGGCAGGGCCACTACATAGGGGCTGAGTACCCTGGCCCAAGAAAGGTTAACCTTTTCAATTATGGTAGGATGAAGAAACCCCAAAGGATTAAAGGTTACCTACTCAGCTACTAAGACTATAAAGGGCCCGTACCTATCTTCTGAATATTCTTCAACTGTTACTGAGGGGGGACCGTATATCCAACTTAGGACTAGTATAGGGGCCTCAAGTACTTAGAAGTAGTAAGAATCCTTGCCTGAGGAAGAACATGGGTAATTGTTCAAGCGTTAAGACGAGCCCATTCTGGTTCACAACCCCCAGCCCAAACACTACATGTAAACCTTAAGACCCTATAACAATCCTCATTCAAGGAGTAACCTGACCTAATTGACACTGAACCCTAAACCCTTCAAAGATCCGACCCCTAAACCCTTCAAGGATCTGACACAAATACCCTAAACCGTGCAAGGAACCGAACAGGTAATCAAACCTTTATGCTAAACCCTCCTTCAAGGAACCTATTCGCGGATCCAGACACTTCGCCCAATGCAGGCTCGCTGTGGATACTGAGCAGCGTCTAGTCTCACCCTCTTTTCGTTGAAGAAGCCGCTTTCCTGCATAGGAGACATCTAGTCTGGACCCTAAGCCCTAACACAAAACTCCCTGAAATCCTGAATTAGGCGCTAGATTCCCTTAGATCCTGAACCTTGAACGTAAACCCTAAACCCTAGAAGCCCTAAGCCCCGGTCTTACCCTCCACCATGGGCCATTAGCCAAACTCGAAGCTGAGCACCCCGGCGCAAACGGGTTACCTGGGCCCGAGTTCTACTTAAAGGATCCAAGGATTAAGTAAGGAAGTGAACGGTTCCTTTCGGGGTTACTTCAAGGGGCCCATTTCCTGGTCTTAGTAAACAAGGTCATAGGTGCGCACCTTAATTGCTACTATCCAGTGGTTCCCGCGGTGTTTCAAGCGATATAGGCGTCTTAACAACTAGAATAGGGTTTTGGAGTACAGTATTCTGCGGTCCATGATACTTTATATATGATGAAACCTGGGGAGGACAAGTATTCGTAATTATTCAGGCATCTATACGAAACTCAAGAAGCCCAGAACCCTCAATGTACTCACACCCTAAACCCCTAAACCGATAACGCTGATTCTTCAAGTACCTCCCTTGCTTGATATGGGTAGTTGTCAAAATTATGGTCCCTTTTGGGGTACCCTAAATAAAAGGTGCCGTATTATAATAAGGACCCAAGAAGGGACCATAATTTTGACAACCACCCATATGAAGGTTTAGAGCTTCAGAACAACCCTAAACCTTACTGTAAACTTTGACTTAGCCCTAACTATACCCTACACCCCTAAACCTTACACCCGAACTTAACCCTGAACCTGAAGTTCAGGAGAAAGCTGGTGGTTGAAAAGCATCGTCAACAATATGTAGGGTTTACGGGTTTAGGGGGTTCAGGGGTTTAGGGGTTTAGGGGCCTACGGACCAAAACACGCCATCCTGGGGGAAGTCAAGGATTTATGGAAACTTGAACTCCTGTCCAGCTTGTAGGCACGATTCATCGTCAGTGTGGTCATGTTCCAAGGCAAAAGTCCGATGGCCGACGCCCGTGGCCAATGGTGCCCACAGAACGGAGCAGCGTCGAACCGTGCAGGTATAAGGCGACTGAAGACATGCTACCGTTTTTTTTTTAAAGTGCAATGGCCCCCTTTTCGCTCTCGCCGAGGAGCCCGCCTATTGGCAGGCATACACAGGGTTTAGGGTTTAGGCTATAACGGCACCAGTGACTTAAACCAGAACTCCACTGGCAAGAATGGCCCCCCTTCCTGGTTGGAAGCTGAGAGCAAGTCATAACCTGGACTGCCCCGGGATGCCGAGAACGTGGCACCCGCGATGCGGAACTCTAATGTGCCGACCGCCTCTTCGGCCGACTTCCTCCAAAAGGGTCAAGACGGGTTGCTATGAGGGTTTTGGGTTTAGGGTTTACGGTTTTATATAGACGCTTCAATAATTAGAATAGCGGCTCCCTTGTCGGTTAGTCAGGTCTTCCTCTCTGCCAGATCTGGCTTGTTAGGTTAGGGATAGCGGTTTAAAGTTTAGGGGTTTAGAAGTTTACGGCTTATTCAAGTCTGCAAAGGCTGGCCAATGGTAATTATGCTCAAAACCCATCGTGCGCGGATAGGATACAAATGTAAATGTCTGCTTATATGGCGTGAGGTGGGAAAGAAAGCAGGGAAAGGCCCTCTGTAACATGCTTTCGCAGCTCGTCGCGATAGTATGATGTACTCGATATAACTGCCTTGTGGCAGGCCACTATCGCCTAAGCGCTTTTTCATGGTAAATCCTTAACCCTAAACCCCAAAACCCTGAACCCTAAACCCTCACCCTTGCAAGAAACCCGTTAAAGAACCTTGAAGGGACCTAAACCCTAAATCCTAAACCCCAAAGCCCTGAACCCTAAACAAGCACCCTTTCAAGAAACCCATTAAAGAACCTTGAAGGAACCTAAACCCTAAACCCTAAACCCCTATACCCTAAACCCTCACCCTTTCAAGAAACCCGTTAAAGAACCTTGAAGGAACCTAAACCCTAAACCCTAAACCCCAAAACCCCAAAACCCAAAACCCTAAACCTTAAACCTTAAACCCCTAAACCCCTAAACCCTAAACCTTTAAAGAGCCCCAAAACCCTAGACCCCTAAACCTTTTGAACAGCTCTACTCATACTTCGAAGCCGGGTCGCCAGGGCTTCGGACTGCTGCGCCTCGAGCTCCGCGGCCCGGAGGCGGCGTCGCAAAGCCAAGGCCTCCCCCGGGGGCTCTCTCAAGGTTTTAGGGTTTAGGGCTTTAGGGTTTTAGGGTTTTAAGGTTTTAGGGTTTAGAGCTTTAGGGTTGTAAGGTTTTAGAGTTTAGGGTTTAGCGTTTAGGGGTTTTGGGGTTTAGGGTTTTAGGGGTTTCGGGGTTTCGGGTTCTTTAATATAGGGGCCTTCATAATTTCCTGTAGTATTGGGGGTTCCTTATTATAATTATAGGGTACAGGGCTCAATATAGGGGCCTTCAGAATTACCTATAATAGTTTGGGAGTCTCCTTATCATAATTATAGTACAGTGGACCCCAAAACCCTATTCTACTTAGTAAGGCCCCTACATTACGGGCTTCGGGGCTTAGGGGTTTCGGGTTTTAGGGGGTTCGGGTTTAGGGGTTCAAGGTTTTAGGGTTTTAGGGTTTAGGGGTTTAGGGTTTAGGGCTTTTGGGGTTTAGGGCTTCAGGGGTTTAGCGCTTTGAGGGTTTAGGGTCTTAGGGTCTAGGGGTTTAGGGTTTATGGGTTTTCGGGTTTTTCGGGGATTAGGGGGGGTTTAAGGGTTTAGGGGTTTAAGGGTGTTAGGGGCTTAAGGAGTTTGAAGGGTTCTTTTTTAAAGTTTTCATTGACGATTCTGCAAATGGTTCCTTAAGGGTTTTGGGGTTTAGGGGCTTTAGGTTTTGGGGTTGGGGGTTTAGGGTGTTTGGCGATTTTAAAAGGGTGTATAGGCATTTTTGCGGGTAGCATGAAAGGCTTTTGGGTGCTTCTTAAGGGTCTGCATAAGCTTGTAGAGGGCTCAGGGCTCTTTGTATTTAGGCTTCAGGGTATGGGGCGCAGGCGTAGGCCTCAACAGCTGCTTTGGGCTTGGGGGGCTGGAGGGGTCGGGCCGGTACACATTAACTGAGGCAGCCATGCAACCTAGCATTTTAAGGGCTAACTCAATTACCCTAGACTAGTAGGAAGTAAGGCTTTAGCCCTAGTTTTGTGTGTCATGTACTGTAAACAGCAAGGTTCCGTAGCGTCCGGGAATACTTCAGTTCAAACCCCTCAGCGAGCTCAGTCAGCAAATCTATTTCAATAACATGTCGGCAAATCTAAACCCTAAACCCTAATACCAGTACTGGCACTTTCAGACGTAGCAGCATCTAGAGTCAGGAATACAACAGCGACTTGAAGTGTAAGCATTGTCAAAGCTTCTAAAGCAACCGTCCCAGAGCTGTATCCCTAAACCCTAAACCCTACAGCCCTGAAAGCAATAGAAATCCAGCGTGACAGTCAATGCTTCAATTTTCGTGGGGGTCATTGAGGTTTAGATTTAGGGCCGTTTAGGGTCTGGCTTGATCGTAAGTCAGATCCTTGGACGGTTGTATAGGGTTCTGTAGGCCTTTCATGATGACAGCAACAGATCTCGGGGGCAATCACACAAAAGCATATTACTCTGATCTAACCCTTTATGCACTGCGACGGGAAAGCGAAAAGCACTTGAATACGGCAGTCAGAGACCAACCAAACATCGCCAGGAGTTATTGGAAGGGTGAGGAGCGGGGCCAGAATTAACAGAATAAGGTTCTGGGGTCTATTAAAGCGTATGTATGATAAGGAATCCCAGGCAATGATATAGGTATTTATATAGGCTCCAACATTACTTACATCCAGTGTCCTGTCACGACTTGGCATCATCCGGAAATCTGAAGACCAGGATCGCCGGCGGTGTCCGCGGAACGCAATATAGGGGCCTTAATAACTAGAATAGGGTTTGGGGTATATTATAACTACAATGATAATAAGGAACCTCCAAAGTCTATTCTAATTATGAAGGCCCCTACATTGCCAGTAGCTGGCCGGAGCTGGTCGTTCGTCCCTGCTTTCCAAAGGCATGGTTGGAGCTCCCCCAAGACTCGTCGGCGCCACATGGGTAGTTTTCTAAATTAGGGTCCTTGTTAGGGACATTATTATAAGGGTGCCGTACTATATTGGGGACCTAAAAAGGGAACCTACTTTAGAGAACTACCCACATGCCAGACGCCGGCACGGGTCTCCCCATCCATACTCTTCGGTCCCTTGCAAGTCCCTTGAACCGTTAAAACCTGAACTCCCTAAGCACATTGACCCATCTCCAAACCCTCCTGAGGAAGGTTTACAATGTCGGCATCCTGATTGTAGGCTCCAAAGAAGGGGGGGTTTGGTGATGCCCCCTAAACCTGTTACGTTTTCTTAATAAGGGTTTTCCGGTAGATTTTAAGGACAAACCTCGGGAATTATGGAATAACATGGGGGCATATACCCCAACCTTAACCCGGAGGCCTCCACCCAAACCCCTAAACCAGTTGAACGAAGCCCAAAAGTCCGTAAACCCTAAACCCTAAACCCCTAAACCCGAAACCCCTAAACCCTAAACCCTATTTGCCGCAGCCTCCTCCTCCGCAGTGCTGAGCTTCTTGCGCAGCTCCTGGTTTGGGGGTTTCCGAAAATAAGGGACCCTAATAGAGTACCCTAAATAGTTGCATCCTTACTATAAGGGCCCCAAATTAAGGTACCCCTAAACTCCCGTTTCTAGTCGACAAGCCGAGTTTGGGGCCGCCAGAGTCTAGGGTTTACAGTTCGGGGCTTACGGTTGAGGGGTTCAGGGCTTTAGGGCTCAGGGTCTACAGGTTTAGGTTCAGGGTACCTGGAAACGCAGAAGCCGTTTAGCATCGATATTTTTTGCGTTTGCATTGTTATTCTGATTGTTATTGCTGTGCTTGATACGACTATTTTGATGTTGGGTCGTAATACAAGCCGCGGCAGTAGTAGTAGTAGTAGTAGTAGTAGCAGCAGCAGCAGTAGTAGTAGTAGCAGCACCAGCAGCAGTA